GGGGGCTGAGCGGAGGAGGTGCCCAGAAGGGATGGCCCCAAACAAGTCGGAGTCTGATTTAGCCACAGGGCGCAGGATGATGCCATTCATCATGATGGAAAGATGAGCAGAAGGGCGATTTAGGGGGTGAATAACATGACCGCAGTTTCATTAGACCTCAGGGCTTGCGAGGAGTTCAAGGTCACTGGGAGGAGCTGAGAGCGGAAGTCACACTTGGAACAGTCACCTGCTGTTACAGATACTTTGGTGTTTTTTTTTAAGATTTATTTTTATGTATGCATACAAGAACTGGGGTATAGGCCAGGGATGCAGGGGGTGAGAGGATTCACCAGACACAGGGTGGTGAGCAAAACAGGCAGATCTACTGAAATACACTGCTGAGGGGAGCAGTTGGCAAGACAGGAAGGGTCTGCTGCTCCCTGTGGGTCAGCTCCCTGGCCAGGGATGGAACTCAGGCCATGGTGGCTGGTGACAGCTTGATAGTGCTGCAACTTAACCCTGGTGCCACCAGGGTACCAGGTGGCAACCAACCTTACTAACCTTATAGAGTTTGGTCAGAATAAAGTGAGATTATTAATCATTAATATTTTGCTACTGTTGGGTGGGCAATAATGATACTATGTTGGAAAAAGGAAGCATCTCAAGGCTAGTGAGTGAAATCAAGTTGAGTCACTAAACTCAGGAAAAAGCAGTTAAATCATTCAGCTCTTATGAAGACAAGAACAAACAGACGCTGTTGACAACTATGGCAAGTTTTGGAATTCTCAAAAAGGTGAGGAGAGCCAAGAACACAGCAAGAGAGACTAAATAGGCTTAAGGTTTTAATAAAGTGTGGATTGCACACACAAGACGAGTAGGTGCCCTCGACTGGCGGCCCCACTTTATGGTAATAGCATTATACTGAGGTAACAGTCACATGAAAATGAAGTAATGGGGGCCTCCCTGGTGGCTCAGGGGTTAAAGACATGGCGCTATCAAGCTATTGCCAGCCACTGCAGCATGAATTCGATCCCTGGCCAGGGAGCAACCCACATGGCACAGCAGACCTCTCCTGTCTTGCCCGCTGCTCCCCTCAGCAGTGTATTTCAGTCCATCTGCCTGTTCTGCTCTCCACTCTTGTCTCTGGTGAGTCCTCTCATCCCCCATACCTCTGGCCTGTACCCCAGATCTTGTCTGCATAAATAATTCTTTTTTTAAAACAAGAAAATGAAGTAACGGAAAAGAGAGTAAGAGCATGACGTGATCTGGCTGGTGAGGCGGTTGGAAAGCCTTTCTCTGTACAAAATGACTTCACAAGTAGACCCCCGAAAATGGGCTATGAACAAGAGGGTTAAACTGAGTCTTTGCTCTGGAGCAGTTTCTCAAACCTTGATATGCACACAAGACCCCCAGGGATGTTGTGAAAATGGGCCTTCTGATTCGTGGGTCCAGGATGGGGCCTGAGATTCTGCATTTCCAACAAGGCTGACGCCACAGGGGTTTCTGGGAGCCCGCAGAGCTGTCACTCTCCTGCTGACCTTGCCGAAGTCTGTCCCTGAGAAGTCAGTCTGTCACCTGCCAGCACTGCTGCTACAAAGACCAGGGCCGGGAAGTGGAGACACACGTCCTTCTGCTGAACCATATGAAGGAGCCGAGCTTGGGGCAGCCAGTGGCCTAGAGTTCCCCCCACCCCGCCCCCGGCTTATCTGGCCCAGCAGGGCTGAGAGAAGAACAAGAGGTCAACTGTTAGTGGAGCTGATACTCTCAGCCGTGGCCTCACCCCACGAGCTCAACACGCAGAGGCGAGGAGAGGGAATGATGAGGGCAGACAGACGTGGAGAACGACGGACACCATCACACGGACCCTTGCCGTGCACGCCTAGAGACGAGTAGTGAAAGGGATTTTAGAAAAAGATTTTCTGAAATTTTAGGAAGCTCTGTATCAACACACAGAAAGAACTTACCACCTTTCAGGAAAATTAACTTTCTTCACATAGACACATTGGCCACCATTTTTGACGACAAGGGGGGAATCTCCTTCAGGCATGAAGACAGGAGACAGCAAATCCTCATGTAGTGAGGACTGGCTGTGCTCCGCAAGCTGCCTGGTGCTTTCCACGAATTCTCTCAGCCAACCCTCACCGCGGCCCCGTCAAGTGGCGGCGCTGGCCTTCCCGTCGACTGGGTACAGGAGCTCCAGCCACCCTGCCAGGATCCCTTTGCTCGGCCGCTGCCTGCGCACCCCTTCCTGCCACGCGGGCTCTCCAGGCCCGGGAGCTTCTCCCGCTGCGGACAGGCTTCCTCCAGGCCTGGGCGGGCAGCTCCCAGCTCACATTATCCTAACCCAGTAATCCAGAAGCCAGGGAGTCTCTCTCCTGGTTTCACCGCTGACAGACTTCGACTGTCTTTACAGTCTGGGCCCAACACCTGGACTGAGCACGGCAGCCAAGAGAATGGAGTAAGAGCATTCATTGGCCGGTGACTGGGGAGACCATGATTAGAAGTTTCCTCCAGAATGGAAAGGCTGGCGTAGAAAATAGAAACAAACAAAGGCGAGGAAGGCTGGTTTGGCCGACAAATGCACAGAGTCCATGACGGGGAGGTCTACGAGTTGCCCCTCTTCACGCATGCCAGCAAGGAGCAGAGGTCAAGTCGCTTGCCCAAGGTCCCACATGCTGTGTGAGCTGGGGAGCCAGTGTGACCAAGACAGTCTGCCCAGAGCTCTTAAGCGCTAGCCCGGAAGACAGCAGGGTCAGTTTTGTTTCAGACTTCTCTGTCACGTCAGCTTTCAGAAGACACCGGAGCAACAGCCTTATGGTCGGTCGTCCATGGTCCACTCTGCCTGATGGTCTTTCACCAGGACAGCTAACAAATACCAAGCACCCACTGTTGACAGGCACAGTTCTAATTGCTTTGTAGGTACAGGGTCATTCACTCCACCAACAGCCCTTCAAGTCAGGAATTCTTGCAATCTTCATTTTGCAGATGAGGAAAGAAGCCCAGAGAGGTTAGGTAACTCCTGTCAGAGCCTCGATGGCGCCTGGGCAATCTGACATCTGAGCCCACACAGTGAATTGCTAGGGTTCAAAAGCATTTTATCTATGCCTTCTTCAAAAAAATTTTAATAGAAATATATGCCACAGGGCCTCCCTGGTGGTGCAAGGGGTTATGCACTGCACTATGAAGCAATCCATAGCCTCTGCAGTAGGAGTTCAATCCCCGCGGCCAGGGAGAAACCCACATGGCGAGGCAGACTTCTCCTGTCTCGCCCGCTGCTCCCCTCAGCAGTGTGTTTCGGTCAGTCTGCTGTTCTGTTCCCCGCTCTGTCTCTGGTGGATCCTCTCACCCCGCCCCCCGCATCTCTGGCCTGTACCCCAGCTCTTGTATGCATAAATAAATAAATCTTTAAAAATATATATATGCCACAATAACAAGAGTTAAAAAATAGAATTAAAAACAAGGGGAAAAACTGTAAAAACTACAAAGTTAGTTTTTAAAAGTCTAAATGATAAATCTGTATCTCAATCTAAGGTTTTATTAACAAGAGGACAGAGAGGAAAATAAAGGTGAGCTCAACCTGGCTCACTCAGAAGAACTTAAAGACTATTATTTCATTATAAATTTTTTGGTAATTTAAGAAATATAGGATACAGAATGTTTTTTCTTTGTTCTGCTTATATATCTTCTTCAGCAGCTTTCCAAATATAGCTCCTGCCATCAAGTCTTCTCAAGGAAAACAATTGTTTTTTTCTTCTTTAAAGGTAAATAGTAAGGGTTTTTTTGTTTTTGTGATATGAACTCATGGATTCCAATCTATTTGATGTGTTTTGATCCACTGCAGTTATCTCGATTGAGTCTCAAATTATCCCATCTGTGACTAGCAGGAAATTGGGTCCCGAGTCCTTTGGTGTTAGAGCAATCTTGTGTACCTCCTTCTCTAGGCCTACAGAATGCTTAAAGGTCATACTTAACAGCCTCAAAAGGAGTATATATGCCTTCCAAAGTACGAAGAAGGTAAAAGCAAAACATGTACCCATAAGAGAAAAAAAACATAAAGCAAAGTAAACAGCAAAGAAGCCTTAAAAAATAGCACAGGGCCTCCCCAGTGGCGCAGCGGTTGAGCGCTGGGTTGCAAAGCTGCCCGCAGCCTCTGCAGCGCCGGTTCGATCCCCGGCCACCGGGCGAGGGTCCCACATGGCGCGCAGACCTCTCCTGCCACCCGCTGCTCTCCTCAGTGTACTCCTCTGTCTGCCTGTTCTGTTCCCCGCTCTGGCTCTGGTGAATCCTCTCACCCTCCCGCGCTTCTGACTGTACCCAGTGCTTGTATAAATAAATAAATAAATAAATAAATCTTTTTTTTTAAAAAAAAGCACAGAAACAAATAAAGCGCCATAAACTAAAAATGCTTGTTTTAATGTTAAATATCAATGACACTTACTCCCATATTTAAAAATAAAATTTCCCAGATTGGATTAAAAAAAATCTATCCTATGTTATTTAAAATAATTTCACAATGGGGGGTTCCCTGGTGGCACAAGAGGTTAAGTCTTAGCACTATGAAGATATTGGGAGCTACTGCAGCATGAGTTCGATCCCCAGCCGGCCAGGGAGCTGACCCACATGGAGCAGCGGACCTCTCCTGCCTCGCCCACTGCTCCCCTCAGCAGTGTGTTTCAGTAAATCTGCCTGTTCTGTTCTCCACTCTTTCTCTGGTGAATCTTCTCACCGCCTTCCCCCACACCTCTCGCCTGCACCCCAGTTCTTGTATGCATAAAAAACCTTAAAAAATCTTTTTAAAAATAAATAAAATAAAATACTATGCAAAAGAGTGGGAAAAGTGCAAAACAGACAAAATGAAGGGAAACTAAAGACCAAAATAGTTAAATGAATAGAACTTGAGACCAAAACCCAGAATAAAATGGTATTGAAATCGTATCAGGCCAAAATATGAAGGATAGAGGTTCACTTAATAACACAATTAGTGAGTCTTATTTAATAGCTTCCTGGACATAAACACGTACACTGGACAATATGCCCTTTTGTCCCCTGGTGCCCGGGAACACGTACAGAAGTGGACCAGAAAGTGCGCTAACGGTGGCACCTCCACAGAGTTCAATTGCCGGAGAAGACGCCCGGGACCCCGGGTGACAATGCTCACAAACCACCCATTTATTACAGGGAAAGGGCTGGAGAGGGAATGGAGAGTCAGCATCTACACCGAAGCACATGCCCCCCCCCCTTGTCTTTCTAGAAGGGCCAGACCAGATGTCTTGTGGGTCGGGAACCACTGATGTGTGCACAGAACACTTTGGAATAAGGGAGCCTAAAATGAAGTTTTTGCTGAGGTGGTTTATATTTTGCTGGTCACCTAGGTCTATCCCTGCTGCGGAACCCTGGGGTGGGGACTGGGCAGCAGCACACCAGGACCAGGTGCAACTCTTCAATCTCATTGTTATTAATAAATAATACTGCCAAGCGGGGTCCCGCTGCGCTGGAATTCTGGACCCTTGATTACATAGAGATCCACACATTGGTGTTTCATGCTTTGACCAGGAGTCAGTATCATGCAGGAGCTTAATTTAACCAAACAATAACCTGTGTGACTAACCTCTTCCTCACAATAGAGCAAGACACTAAAGATCTCTCAATAATTTCCAAAATGCTAAAACCAAGCAAGCCCATTTGGGGGCCACAATTCAAAAAAATAAACAGATACGATGAATACAAAGTAATCAAAAATGCAAATTAAAACAAAGTACTTTTTTAAGAATATAAATCTGATGAAAATAACAAGAATGGGACCTCCCCTGGTGGTGCAGGCAGTTGAGCGCCGCACTGTGAAGCTGTCCGCAGCCTCTGCAGCGTGGGTTCAATCCTGGCTGGCCTGCGAGAAACCCACATGGCGCGGCAGACCTCTCCTGTCTCGCCCACTGCTCCCCTCAGCAGTGTATTTCATCAGTCTGCCTGTTTTGCTCCCCACTCTGTCTCTGGTGAATCCTCTCACCCTCCCACGAGTCTGACTTGTATCCTGGTTCTTGTATGTACGAATAAATAAATCTTCATGAAAAAAAAAAAGAAAATAATAAGAATGTTAATATCCAGTGTCTGTGATGATCCTGGGGAATGAGGTCTTTGCACTCACTGCCCCTGGAAGTATAAATTTGTACAGCCTTTCTCAGGTATGTCTTGATCTGCGTCAAAGTCCTGAGAAAGGCATTTCATCCTGAGGAAATAATTGAGGAAATGAGTAGGCAAGGATGTTCATGGCAGCCCAGTGGATACAGCAACTGGTTGGGTATACTCAAGTGTCCAGCAATATGGGGACTGTTTCAGCAAGTTATGTCCACATCCAACTATTCAAAATAATTTCACCAAGGTCTATTTGTGGCAGGCTGTTAGTTGGATGTCTAATGTCCTTTCCCGTCTTCTGAGCTAACAGAACCCAGATACTGTTCAGGGCAGCGATGGTCACTGCCCAGGCACAAAATTATGACAATCCTATTCCCACTTTCCCAGTTCCCTTGCACCTACGAGTGGCTATGTGATCCAGTTCTGGTCAACGAGATATAAGAAGTCTCCTGGGGGCTTTTGGGAAAGTCTCTTTCTTTCCTGATGAATAGGAAAGATGTTAATGTGAGCAATCATCTCCTGCAGACCTTACATTAAGTGAGAAAAACTAATTATTAAATTTGAATAATTAGACTTATTACAAAAAATAGTTTGTGTTAATTATTAGTCAAATTAACTATTTGTTAAGCAAGTGTTGGTTGGATTTCCTGTTATTTGAAGCCCAAAGTATTCCTAACTGTGGTCAAAACTGATGTGCTCCATTGCCCCCTTGGGACTCCCTGCATCTGGGAGAGCTACAGGCTGACAGCCTTCATCTGCCAGCTATCACCATGAATTGTATGCAGTTGAAGATGGCTACCTTGCCCTTTGTCACATCCCCTTCCTGGGAGGCAGCCTACTTCACACTCCAAAGGAGTATAAGGCTCAGCTTGCTTGCTTGCCTTTTTTTTTTTTTTTTGGATTTATTTATTTGTTTATACAAGAACTGGGGTACAGCCCAGATGTGCGGGAGGGTGAGAGAATTCACCAGAGCCAGAGAAGGGAACAGAACAGGCAGACTGATGAAATACACTGCTGAAGGGAGCAGTGGGAGCGGCAGGAGAGGCTGCGGGCAGCTTTGCAGACCAGCGCTCAACCACTGCGCCACCAGGGGAGGCCCTCTTTCTTTCTTTCTTTTTGTAAAGATTTATTTATTTTTGCATACAAGAGCTGGGGTGTAGGCCAGAGGTGTGGGGGGGGGTAAGAGGATTCACCAGAGACAGAGTGGGGAACAGAACAGGTGGATCTACTAAAATACCCTGCTGAGGGGAGCAGCGGGGGAGTCAGGAGAGGTCTGCTGCGCCATGTGGGTAGCTCCCTGGCCTGGGATGGAACTCGTGCTGCTGTGGCTGGTGATAGTCATAGTGTTGAGACTTAACCCCTTGAGCTACCAGGGAGGCCTAAGGCTCAGCTTTCTTCCTTCAATTTGGGATAACTGCAGGGCCTTCCCAGCTCCAGATCTGGAGTCCATGCGACTGCTACATGGTTGCCTAACCTCCCCCTCTGTCTAATCCTACTTTATTCCCTTCTCCTATGGTGAAGCTCTTAAGAGCACTCCTGAATAAACTTCCTGCACTTAAATCTCTGTCTCAGAGTCTGTTTCCAGGGCAACCCCACCCACAGCACCATGGACACATTTATTCACGTAAAAAGATATTCAAAATGTATTGCTAACTGACACAACTACAGGTTATGAAGCAATATGTGTGGTGTTTTCATATTAGACAGATTATATATCTGCACAGAAAATATTTCTGCAAAGGAAAACACTGATATTTTACAGCAGGACTTGTGTTTCCAACAATCTGCTGGACTAGATGTTTAGAGAAATTCCCTCCAGCTCAAAACATATTAAGTGCCAAAAAGAAGTTTTAATATTTTAATGTACAGAGAAGTGGTAAGAAAGTAAGAATTCCTAGGGGAAGGAGGAGCAGAAATGCTAGGAAAGCACAAATACACAAGAGCTAGAGATCATATTTACTCTGGAGGTATCTGCTGATTCCTGATGACCTTGAGCCAGATTTTAATCAGCCATTGCTGTGAGGGACAGGGGACAAAGCTGAAAGCTCAAGCAGCATGAGAGGTGGCCAGAGGGGCATGCAAAAAGGCAGGAGAGCCAGAGAGCAACCCCTCCAGAAGTTCAACAGGAAAATGCTCACCCTGCAGATAGAGCTGGGGAAAGTAAATTCCATGGGGATGGTGAAGCAAAGTTAAAGCCATGTGGGGCTGAGCCAGCACCAAATCTGAATCTCTGCAGCCCCAAATAAGCCCTATGCGGTAGCTAGACTTCAAAGGGTTCCATGGGGGGCCTCCCTGGTGGTGCAGCGGGTTGAGTGCAGCACTCTGAGGTTGTCCACAGCCTCTGCAGCACAGGTTCGATTCCTGGCTGGCCAGGGAGATACCCACATGGCGCTGCAGACCTCTCCGGCCTCACCCACTGCTCCCCTCAGCAGTGTTTTTGGTCGTCTGCCTGTTCTGCTCCCTGCTCTGTCTCTGGTGAATCCCCTCACCCTCCCGTGCCTGTGGCCTATACCCCTGTTCTTGTATAAATAAATAAATCTAAAAAAAAATGCAGACTTATCATTTAAAAAAAAAAAATCACAAAGTGGTCCTTGGTAGTACCCCCAGAAAACTGTAAGAAGAAAGTGAAAATTTTTCCTTGGAGGAATACATCCACAGACCTTAAAGATACAACAAATTTACAAAATCAGAATAAAAAATAAACCACTCAATCCATGAGAGTCAGCATAAACATCAAATTTCATAGTCAGGTGCGCACACACACACACAAACCATAGATAGTGGGACATTCAAATGCAGAGTATAAAATAATATTGTTTAGTGTGCATAAGAAATTAAAGATAAGGTTGGTAGGAAGGGCAGAGAGAATGTTGAAACTGACTAGAATAGATTTGCAAGAAAATAATCGTTTATACAATTAAAAATTAATCATTTAAATGAAAAACTCAAAGGATATTATAAACAGCAGAGAACTGGAGAATTAGAAGATAGATCTAAATAAATTACCAATATAGGACAAAAAGATAATGATGGAAAATATTAGACTTTAAGAGAAATGAAGTAGAGAGAGAGAGAAAGTCTAATACGTGTTCCCAGTGGAGTTCCAGAAGAAGAGAATAACAACACAAGAGGAAAAAGCAATATATAAAGAGATATGTTTCAGAAATTATAAAAGACACCAACATTCTCACATGCAGAAACCCAAGAATTCTAAGCAGGATAATTAAAAATAATTTTTCATTTAGACATGTAGTAATGAAACTTCAGAGTGCCAAAGACTAGCAAAAGATTTTCCAATAATGACAGCCAGATGACTAGGAAACATTATCTTCAAAGCAGCAAGAGAAATAACTATCAGCCTAAAACTTTATACCCAGAAATTAAACTTTAATGAATAAGGGTGAAAGAAAGATATTTTCAGATATAAACAGACATCATTAAAATAACTTTTTTTTTCATTAAAATAACTTTTAAATAACATATCCTAGAAGGATAGAAATGATTTTAGGATGAACATCTGGGCTGTAAAAAGGAGTAACGAACAATATTTAACATTGTACTGGACATCTTAGTGAAATAAGGCAAGAATAAGGAATAAAGACATATCAGAAAAGAAGAAATCAAATTTCCGTGGACAGATAACCTGTATAGGTAAAAACAAAAACAAAAAAAACAAAAAAAAAAACACACTCAGAGTCTGCCAAAAAATACTAGAGTCAATTAGTGAGTTTATTATAATCATAGGACATAAAGTCAATAGACAAAAATCAATTGTATTTCTGTAGAGTTGCCATAAATTATTGAAAATTTAAAATAGTACCATTTACAAGGGCACCAGAATCGTGAAGTCCATAGGTATGATTCTTACAAAAGATGAATAAAATCAAAGGAAGATTCACTAAATAATGATATTTTGTCTTCATAAATTGGAAGTCTCGTTGTTAAAAGATCTGTGATAGGAAGCCTTTAAGATGGCTTCTAAGGTCCCTGCCTTCTGGATTCATGTCCTTATATAACCTCCTTCCCTTGAGTGTGGGTTAGACCTAGTCATCCACTTCTAATGAATAGAACATGGCAAAAATGATGTCACTTTTTAGAT